GGCGAACTTGGTTTTTGACTTTTCATACTTTTCGATTTTGGTTTTCTTATCTGAATTTCCGAAATTGTGCTTGCGTTGCGGGGATAGTAAATATTGTCCGATCGAGTTGCGATTTTTGGCATTGTGTTCTACGACCCAAATGTCCACTCTTCCGCACCCCGCCGAATCCGCGCGGAAGAAAACCCTGTTTTCAATACACCCTAATATGCACCGTGCACTCCTGGCGCCGACGTAAGCAGAACCCCCGCGCGTTATGCAACCCATTTGGCGATGTGGCTGGGGGAGGGAGGAGGGGGAGCGCCACTCCCGCGCAGTAATCAAAAGTTTTTTTTATACGTACACATTTCAAAGGAAGGGCACGGGCACCGACCGGCAGTAGGAGGGGGAGCGAAATATCACCATCCGTTCTCCCTAGTAGATGAGGTTTTTATTTCGTTTTATTTCACAAAACTAATAAGACTTTTCGACGGCGGCTTTCTAATTTTTACATTTTACATTTTATTTCCTCTAAAATTGGAATCACCTCTCTGCTTGCCGACGTGACGTGATGGTTCGACGAGCTCAGAGAGAGAAGGACCAGCCGAAGCCGCTGTGCGCTCCGCCCGCGCTCTCCCCCACACCCACGCCGAAGCTGACGCCGGAGTGGGCGTGCTCGCCCGAGCGCGCTCCCTGGTGACCCGCAGCGCTCTCCTCCACCGTCACCGTCTGCGAGCTGTACTCTGATGAGCTGGACCGTCCCGACCCGCCGCCGTAGCCGCCGCCGACACGGCTGCTCCCACCGTAGCCTCCGGTCTGTGAGACGGTCTTCTCGACTGACGAGGACCTCGAGCTAGAGCCTCCCAGGGCGTGCTCGCCACCGGTGCCGTACGATTTGGACGAGCTCTCCTTCTGGACGGAGGACGAAGACGTCCTCCCGGCGGCACCCAGGCCGCGGCCCGAGGAGCCGCCGTTGTAGCTGGACCCGGAGACGCGCTCCTCGACGGACACGCTGCTCCTGGAGCCGACCTCGGGGGGGTCGACGCGGCCGGCGGAGAGGCCGGTCTGCGTCGACTCGCTGACGGAGACGGACTTGCCAACTTTGCCGTACGATGACCCTAGACCCGAACGCAGGCCGCCGCTCTGGACGCCGGTGTAGCTAGACCCGGAGGTCTCGGAGGTCTCGGAGATCTCGGAGCTCTCGGAGCTCTTACTCAGCGAAGCTGAGCGGGAGCTGCCGAGGCCGCCGAGGCCGCCGAGGCCGCCGTAGCCGGTGCCGTAGCTGGACTCGGAGGCCTTGTCGATGGACACGGAACTGCTCGAACCGCCGTGACCGCTGCCGAGACCGACACCACCGGAGTAGCTGGTTTCGGAGGACTCCTTGGCGGAGTAGGACTTGGCAGCCACCGACTCGTGTCCCTCGCCGAAGCCTCCGCTGGTGCCGGACTCACTGACCTTTTGTTTTTGTACGACGACCGAGGACGACGATCCGACGGCAGGGTCGGAAACGCCATCGAAATCGGACTCGGACACCACCCTCTTGACGGACACTGAGCTGCTGATGCCACTGGTTCCGCGGCCAGCTCCGTGGCCGTGGCTACCTCCAACTGTCTCCTCCGTCTGCGTGACGGTTGTCTTGGAGCCGACCAGGCCGTCCTTGCCGTAGGAATGCCCTCCGGACACGCTGCTCTCCTCGACCTTGCTGAGGTGGGTGACGGACGAGCCGCCCACGCCGTCCTCGGGCTCGACGGTGTGTCCCACCTCGCTGCCCTTCTTGACCTCCTCATGCGCACCGAAACTGACTCCGAATCCCTTGCCGCCGAACGAGATGCCGAAGCCCGCCTCGGCGGGCAGGGCGGCCGCCTCGGCGGCCCGCGCGGCCACCGCCAGCAGCACAGCCAGCGTCGCGAGCTTGTTCATGGCGGCTGGATATTACGTCCCTGAGCAGTCAAACAAGAAAGTTGTCAGAGGGCGAAAGGGGACTACCTTTGAGCGACTGTTTCGCGGGAGCCCGTCGCCCGCCCTCGCCTTACGGCAATCAACCGCCCTTTTGCGCTCCTCACCCGTCTGTCGCCGCCCGAAAGAGAAACTGGACCTGCGCCCAGGTGCGAGTGAACCCCCCGGCCAAACCCCACCGGGCTTATGTAGCAACGCCCGACCTTGGACGACTCTC